TTGGAGGGTGATGGGGGTCAACGCCTGAGGGCTCCCAGTATGTGAGAGGGGGCAGGCTGGGCTGAGGGACACTCCCCCCCCCCACACACACCCCCAGTGCACGAATTTTGTGCACCAGGCCCCTAGTAATGCTATAAATATATGTATAATTAATAATTACTACTACCATTTATGTTGTACTTACCATGTGCCAGGCATTGTGCTATAAATACTTTATATGCATTATCCTGTCTTTACAATAATCGTATGCAGTGGGAACTATTATTACCTGTGTGTTACAGATGAAGAAACTAACGCTCAGAGAAGTGGAGGCCAAGGTTACACAGCTAGTAATGGCAGAGCCAAGACTTCAACTCCTATCATTGGATCCCGAGGCCAGATCTTGTTCCAGCCTTTCCATAGCTGCTTCCTACCCAGGCTGGGCTCTGCTCCCAGGTCCCAACTATCACAGATGCCATAATTCCCATGTTTACTGTCCTAACTGCACTGCATTAAATCCTCACAGTAACGCTAGGAAGTACGCAATGCTGTGGGAGCCCCCTCTATAAGCCATGAAATTAAGGCCAGAGTGGTTAAGGAGCTTATCTAAATGCATAAGTAATAAGTGAGAGTTAGGACTTAAGCCCAGAAAATCTAACCAAAGGCCATGCTCTTGACATCCATGCTACACTAACGGGAAGGTAGCTGGTTGATTGTTGGGTGAGGGTGTGGAACCAGGAGAAGGGGGAGAAAACGTCTCTCTAAAAAGAAAGGAATTTTTACCCAAGTCCAAATAGCACCCACCCCTCTCAGGGATGGCACCCCCTCAGCCAGCACCTCCTATACCAAGTGCACAGTCCTTAGCAGGAGCTTTCTGAACATGATGCCTGCGGAGCTGCAGACGGCCCAGGCAGGAGAGGCCAGGTCCAGAAAGAGTGCCCCACGCCCCTCCCTGCTTCCCAGGCCGGCCGTGGACCAGGGCCACACAGCCACAGCCACGGCCCCGGAGAGCCTGCGCCAGCTGTTCTCCCATGGCGAGCTTCCAGGCCAGCCCCCGGGCCGCTCGCGCCCTAATCAGTGCTGCACAGAGGCCTGAGCGTGTCTAATGGGCCTTTAATCAGTGCCGGGGCTGACACCAGATTACAGTGTTTATAATGCGCCACGGATCTGTGTGGGGCTGATTCCCTCGCCCAGGAGCCTGCAGCCAGCCTCCCCTCGGCCCTGGCTGGTCCAGCCTTCCTTTCCCACCGGCAGCCTGGTCAAGGGGCCTCAGCTCCGCCGAGGTGCCCCCTTCCCTGACCCCAGCCCCTACAGCTGACTCTAAAAGCTTATGGCTGAAGGGGCAGGAACCTGAGCCCCTTGAGTCTCCCAGAGGGACTGGTTAGACCTCAGCCTCCACCCAGTGGTGACTGCTGAGAGCAAACGAAGCCGGGCATGGAGCTGGCCCCTCACAGATGCTCAGGAAATGAGGATGTCCCTCTCCCCAAGGAACAGAGCTCCAGTCATATCTTGAGGGTTGTCTCCAAGCTGTCAGGACTCCTGGCAGCCCCTCCCCATGGGCAGCCTCCACAGAGACTGACCAGCCTCTCCACCCAGTCCAGACACCACACATCCTCCATGCACCCCAGGACTGGGAAGGCACTGGCCACAGGGCTGCCTATGGGGCCAGCAGGGATGAGGTCCCTCTGCCTGCTCCAAGTCACTCTAACGCTGAGTCCCCTGTGGCACTTATAGTAACAAGAAGAAGCAATAAGCAGGCAGTGCAGGCACTATTGTATCTCGCATGTTTTGTGGTCAAGGAAACCAAGGACCAGAGAGGTTTAAGCAGCACAGTGATAAACAACACTGGCCCTAGAGTCAGAGTGCCTGGTTTCAGACCCTGGTGCTGCATCTAACCAGCTGTAATTCTGTGCCTCAGTCCTCTCATCTGTAAAATGGGGATGATACTGTGTCAGGGATCCATTATGACAACAATAATTGCTACTAATATTTACTGAGCTCCAGATCTGTCCTTAAGACTTCATTTGAATTATCTCAACAATTGGAAACTATTTTTATTCTCACTTTACAAATGAGGAAACTGAGCACAGAGAGGCTAGGTAACATGACGATGGTCAGTGGCAAAATCAGGAAATGAACCTAGCAGTCTGATTCCCAACCCACGCTCTTAACTACTGAAGCGATACCAGCTTCCTGCCAACAAGGACTATTTTTTAAAAATATATTTTATTGATTTTTTACAGAGAGGAAGGGAGAGAGATAAAGAGTCAGAAACATCGATGAGAGAGAAACATCGACCAGCTGCCTCCTGCACACCCCCTA